TTTCCCCAAAAAGTTTTCCAATTATCAATGTAGCCCACGTTGTTTTCAGGACACCACCTAGACAGCCAGCGGTTGAAGGACAGCATGAGGCTTAACATGTCGTCACTGGTCCGATCAGGCAGGGGGCCAGAGAAAATTACGGAGTCTGACATTGTTTTGGCAAACTTACACACCGAAGCAACATTAATTTTAGTGACCTCCGACTGGCGTAACCGGGTGTCGTTACCGCCAGCGTGAATAACAATCTTACTGTATTTACGCTTATCCTTAGCCAGCAGTTTCAGATAAGATTTGATGTCGCCCGCTCTGGCCCCAGGTAAACATTTAACTATGGTTGCTGGAGCCTCTAATGCCATGTTTCTGACTATGGAGCTGCCAATGATCAGAGTCGGCTTGTCAATGGGTGCGTCACTGAGCGGGGAAAATCTATTAGAAACGTGGACGGGTTGGTGGTGGCCCACGGGCTGGGTTCTATGCTTCCTGCGTACCGTCACCCAGCCGGCCTGAGGTCCCGGCTGCTCAGGTTCCACTGGAGGGTCGCTACGGGGTGGTTCTGAGCTAGTTAGCCCCGCGCTAGCTATGTAGCTATGGCTGTTTACGGGTTTTCCAACAGCGCGGAGCCGGGACTCCAATTCCGACACCCTCGCCTCCAAAGCTACAAAAATGCTACATTTATTACACGTACCATTATCACTAAAGGAGGCAGAGGAGTAACTAAACATCTGACACAGAGAGCAAGAGATAGGAGACGGAGAAGCAGAGACAGAAGTAGCCATAGTCGTGCTGAGGCTAAGCTAACTGGACGAGCAAACTGTTCAACACCAAATAAACTGCGTGCAAACTCAAATGGTTCCCTAAAGGCTAGGTGGAACAACAGAAAATGTGTGTTTTAGTGTGCTTTAGTGCTACAATAACTCAGAGATATCCTAGTACAGAGAAATTAAATCAGTTTTAGCGAGCCCCAAACACCAAACAGCTACACGGAGTGCAACACTGAAAACAGGAAACAGGACACGCCTTACCGCCAGGTGCAGCCAACAATGTGCTTCTGTTTTTTTTTTTTTTTTTTTTTTTCAAAAAATCCCCAACCGAGGAGGGGGGAATTAGAGCTGTGCTGAAAGCATCTGGGGTCTCATTTATCAAGCTTGCTTACGCACAAAATGGGGTCAGAAAACTGCGTTAGCAACGTTCCATGCAAACTTTGGGATTGTGATGGACAGAAGACGGAAGCTGTCGAGCTCCGAGGGTGTGGTGAGTGGACACCAGCTGGTCCTCGTTATCAAGGGCGTCAGTTTGTTTTCAGGATTGCTGGGGACAATAACCATACACTTGAGTGGGGTTTAAAACTTGCTGGGGACAATAAAGGCTTTTTTTGAAAGTGGGGGGGACACAGCTGCCAATCACAAATTTTGCCGGGGACATGTCCCCGGCGTCCCCGGTTAAAATGACGCCTATGCTCGTTATGGATAACGAGGCCAGGGAGGATAAAAGGGTGACAGACCTACTGAGAGGTGTGCGTGGTCGACCTGTCATTGTGGCATCGGACTTTGGGGGGTGGGGTCGTTCGCAGCCGGGTAGGGCTGCCGGCGACGAAGATAGCTGAACAGGTGTTTAGTGTTCCAGCGCCAGGAGGGAAGGCTGGTCGCCTTCTTTAGACAGTTAGGGCTGGGCATAGGTGATGCCAAGGCCGCGCCGACATCTGCCGCTACGGACTCTGGCAGTGGACTTATGTTGTGGATTTACCCCCCGTCCTCGCAAGCTACACCCCGGGGCGTTGGACGGCGTTGGAAGCTCAGACCCCGGGGACGGGGGTCACACCATCCGTGACAGCTAAGTACCGCTGCTTATGTGACTCATGCTGGACAGTTGGTTTTAGAAGAGAGGGCTTGGGCCATGGTGTTTTATCGTTGTGTTTTATTATTGATTGTGCAATAAAGTGTGTCTTTTATAAGTCGTTGCCTACTGGTGGTGTGTTCAGGTTCTGACCGGAGGGCAAGATATTCTGCCCGTGCTGCCCACGGCTACTTTTATTACACTGGTGGCAGAGGTGGGATCTAGCAATCCAAAATGTCAGAACCTGAAAATAACACACCTCCGTTGAGACCAGCTGAAAATCAGCCCGTGAGCACAGCAGCTCGGCCGATTTCTATGCCGGAGAGCTTTTCCGGTGTTGGCCGCGAATGGGCAGACTGGGTTGGACAATTTGAAATGGCAGCCGATGTAAATAACTGGGATGAGCCCCTTAAGCTGAAGTTTCTGTGTCTTCTGTTGTCTGACAAGGCTCGAGAGGTTTACAATGGCTTGTCGGGGAGCGTTAAAGCTAATTATGCCGTGTTAAAAGAGCAAATGGGGAAGTGTTTGGATCCGTGTGACAGCGCTGATTGGAATAGGGCTGTTTTCTCCGCTCGACGCAGGTGGCATAATGAAAGTGTCCGAGAATTTGGGATGGCATTACGACGGGCTGTCGTTAAAGCTTATCTGACAGTGGATCCCAATATACGAGACATGTTGGCTAAAGATCAGTTTATAGCTCATGTGGGGAATGGAGACATGAGAGTGTGTTTACGGAGCGCCAAGCCCGCGTCGCTTGAAGCAGACATCGACCTGGCGGCGGAGCTTGAGCTCATTAGGAGCTTGGAGACCAGCTCAGTATCGGACGCAAGAGTGAGGGGGATAACTGTGAAAGATGCTGATGATAAAAGCATTGCTTCGCTAATGGGGGTGGTTGAGAGCTTGAGACAGGAGGTGAAATCCCTCCAGGAAGTGGTGCACACACTGTCAGTACCTGCTGCATCTAGTCCCCACCGTCGTGACGCTCAGAACACAACCTTGCAGCCTAGGCAAGAATATTCCCGGAGGGAAGGAAATGAGAGGTTTGGAGGCTGCTGGGAGTGTGGCTGTAACCGGCATTTACGTCGGGACTGCCCTTACGTGCAGGGAAACTAGAGGGGGCGTGTATCGTGGGTCAAATGCCCGCCCCCTTCTCTGTTGTTGAGACCCCTGTAGGAAGAGGCAACGCTGGGTACTTGAAGGCCAGGATAGGTGAAGCCTTTGCCTCAGTAGACAAGTATGTGACGAGGCTGAAGGAAACATTCACTACGATGGTGGATGCGGTGAAGTGCCATCAGGGCAGAGCATCGGTGCAACAGAAGAGGGCACATGATTTTAGGGCCTCCCGCCGGTTCTACGCGGCAGGTGACTTAGTGTGGGTCAGAAATAAGCTGAGGAGACGAGGGGTGTGTCCCTGGCTTCAGAGGCGAGATAGGGGACCGTTTAGGGTCCTCGAGCGGGTGACAGACGTGTTATACAGGCTAGTACCCGTTGAGGGGGGTCCTGAGAGTGTGATTCATTTCAACCGACTTAAGCCGTGCACTTCTCTTCCACTAGTTGCAGCACCGATGGCTGTGGGGTCCCGAGAGAGAGCGAGGCAGAGTCTGCGTCAGCAGGATGCCACCTGGGAGGACACCAGCAGGGTTCATCGACGGTCTGCAGAGACAAGCAGGTCTGGCGGCACAAGTGACCCGGCCCCATCACGTGGAGAGGCTGCTCGAGGAGGTGCTGCTTCAGGAGGACCGAAAGGACGTCTCCCTGGGGAGATCGACAGACGTGGAGCTGCGGAACAGCGGGTGGTTCATCAGCCGGATGCCACCTGGGAGGACATCAGCAGGAGTGCTCAACGGTTTTCGGAGACGAAGGGCTCCGGTGATTCAAGCAACCCTGCCCCATTGCATGGAGAGGCTGCTCGAGGGGGTGCGGTTGGAAGAGGATCGGGAGGACGTATCCCTGAGAAGGTCGAGGGACCTGGAGCTGTGGAGCAACGCGTGGTTCGTCAGAGGAGACCCCCTGTTTGGCATAAGGATTATCATGTGGAGATCTAGGACTCGAGGGCGAGTCCTTCAGGACAAAGAGGGGGAGAGTGTGATGGACAGAAGACGGAAGCTGTCGAGCTCCGAGGGTGTGGTGAGTGGACACCAGCTGGTCCTCGTTATGGATAACAAGGCCAGGGAGGATAAAAGGGTGACAGACCTACTGAGAGGTGTGCGTGGTCGACCTGTCGTTGTGGCATTGGACTTTGGGGGGTGGGGTCGTTCGCAGCCGGGTAGGGCTGCCGGCGACGAAGATAGCTGAACAGGTGTTTAGTGTTCCAGCGCCAGGAGGGAAGGCTGGTCGCCTTCTTTAGACAGTTAGGGCTGGGCATAGGTGATGCCAAGGCCGCGCCGACATCTGCCGCTACGGACTCTGGCAGTGGACTTATGTTGTGGATTTACCCGCCGTCCTCGCAAGCTACACCCCGGGGCGTTGGACGGCGTTGGAAGCTCAGACCCCGGGGACGGGGGTCACACCATCCGTGACAGCTAAGTACCGCTGCTTATGTGACTCATGCTGGACAGTTGGTTTTAGAAGAGAGGGCTTGGGCCATGGTGTTTTATCGTTGTGTTTTATTATTGATTGTGCAATAAAGCATGTCTTTTATAAGTCGTTGCCTACTGGTGGTGTGTTCAGGTTCTGACCGGAGGGCAAGATATTCTGCCCGTGCTGCCCACGGCTACTTTTATTACAGGATTTATGAAAGAAAACTTAGCGGAAAAATGTGCATAACTTTAAGTTGACTAAGGACCTGGCTTACACACATGCTGGACATGGAGAGCACCTGCAGTGCTGCTGCTGAGAAGATACAGTTATGAACTCCTGCAGCATTATCACTTGTACTGCTTCATGTTCACACAGAACAAGACCCCCCCACACACACGCACACATGCACGTGCACACACACACACACACACACACACACACACACACACACACACACACACACACACAACCTGAATGGCAGGATACGGAATGCAGAATATCAGCAGGGGGACAGATTGAGACAGAACATGCGTGCGTGACAGTGTGTGTCCTGTCCAAGCCCCCACAATGCCGCTCAGAAAATGGTCCCAACCCGGAAGTAAGAAAAATTGCAGTTCCACCCTCATCCACTAGGGGCTGGTGTCAGAAGCGAGCAAATCCTCATTGACTCCCATGTTAAAAATGCCATTTTCACAGCAGAAATAAACATGTTTACAGCCTGGTTCAAAAAATGGTTTTTTGTCTAAATTATCTAGTTTATACTCATGACAACTCTGAGGGGGGTGAATTTTTTTCTCACTCTTCTGTTTAAGTGTATTGAAAGCCTAAAATTCTGTATAATTAATGAGCATCAGACCCACGTGACCACAGAGCTAGCTCCGTGGAAAGGCCTCAGTACAGCCTCGGTCTCTCCTGGAAACTGTGTCGGGATTTTGAGTCTCTGTGCTTGTGAATTCTGTTTTGGATAATATTGGTGCAATTGTTGGACAAAATGACTTGCAGTGGTATTAATTGCACTAATAGAGCGTCCAAGGAGTCTCCACTTCATTTTTTCGGTAAGTTAAAATCTATATTTGTATTTTATGTCACTGCTGCCTTTAAACTAGCTGAGTTTACCGAAGTAGCTAGCTAACCATCAGTTTAACATGTAGCATGTACTGTTTAACCATGAAATTTAAATGTAAAATACGGTAAAATAATTAATAGGGCATATTTAGATGGGTAATAGGGTAAAACCCAGTGCATTTAAGATAAAAATGGGTTGAAATATGACGGGGCGCGCCGCTTGGGGGGACACTTCTGTGCTCTATTCTTTCATCCGGTAATCCCCAGCGGTCAGGCCGGGCAGGCTGATCGATGCGGCGCCTCGCTGCTGCGGGCTGACCGCTCGTGGAACTCGGAGACAGATCTGACCGGAGAAATACTGCAGCTCATTGAGAAGTCTATCGGGCATACAGCGTTTCCCTTAAATCCCACCGCCACGCCGACAAGATCCCAAGTTTCTTTGTTTTTGTTGGCGCTGTTTACCGAAGAAGCAGCGGGAATACCAGCAACTTTCATCAGACTCGTAAAGTTAGTTTTTGCAGGGGACCCCCTGTATTTTACTGCTCCCTCCTGCAGTCTTCCCCTATTAAAATTTAAAATGTATAACTTCATGTATTGTGATGAATGACTAATATTCATGTTAACTAAAACGTTAGGTATTTAGGGGGAAAAAACAAAATAATAAACATTATACAGATGTCAAATAAATCAAACTGTAATTAAACTATATATTTTCAAAGTCTTGATTCTGGATAAAATCCAACAACATATGCTTTATAAATAAACACTACACATGGCTTTTACACACACACACACACACACACACACACACACGTTACATTGTGATTTCTTAGTAAATATTCTATTTGGCGAGAGATAAACTTTATTGTATTTATCCTAGTGAATCTATAATTAAACGGGTAAACTAGTAGTAGCACATCCAACGTCAAAGAAAGTAAAATGTTATTATCAGGAGAGGGAGAATGATTAAGTGGTTAGCAGCAGTGTGCTAGACGATGGCCCCCTCCATGAGGCCACCACAGCTCAGCAGAACATCGTTGTAGCTTCTTCTGGGGAGAAAAACACTTACAGAGAAAATAAAGTTAACAGCTGAAATAGCAGGAAATAATACAGTTAAAGAGCAGATTGTAGAAGAAAGAAACCCCTGGGTTAAACTGGTCTGTCTACTGCATAATGCTGAACTCTAACATGTGTCCTCAGGGAAGGACCTGATTGGTGTCCAGAACCTGCTGAAGAAGCACCAGGCTCTGCAGGCTGAGATCACAGGTCATGAACCTCGCATCAAGGCTGTCACCCAGAAAGGAGAGACCATAATGGAGGAAGGTAGAGCAGGTCTGGTCCTGACATGTTTCTGAGGTGTCTGCAGGTTCTGGCTCACTTTGTTTGGGTCCAGGTCACTTCGCTGGTTCAGAACCCTCGGCCCGTCAGAACATTCTTATCCACCACGTTCTAACACCAGACCTGTTAACCCGACAGCAACAAGTGGCTCCAACTGACGATGAGACCGGGAAGGAGCTGGTTCTGGCTCTGTACGACTACCAGGAGAAGAGTCCTGGAGAGGTCACCATGAAGAAGGGCGACATCCTCACGCTGCTCAACAGCACCAACAAGGTTCGTGTGCCCTTCACAGCCGAGGAACGACCTCCAGCTCAGAGCGAACATCTCCACACCTGCTTTGTGTTTGTGTGACTTTAGGTTGTTTTACTTGAACTTGCGTCTTTAGCTGAATGAGGATGGAGAGACGGGTCGGACCTGGAGCAGGTCGAGGTCTTGCAGAAGAAGTTTGACGACTTCCAGAAGGTCGGACTTTTCCTCCTCTCCGTCTTCCAGCAGCAGCTGTCAGATCAGCTCAGGTGATAATCAGCAGGTGCTTTTGTCCTGCAGGACCTGAAGGCCAACGAGTCCCGCCTGAGGGACATCAACAAGGTGGCATCTGAACTGGAGTCAGAAGGTCTGATGGCTGAGGAGGCTCCTATGGTTCAGGCTCAGGTGAGCGTCACCTGTCTGCAGCAGCTGGTCCCTCTCACTTCCTGGTTTAACTCTGCTCGTCTCTGTTTGTAGCAACAAGAACATCTGGGTTCTGCTCCTGGACAGGTGCGTGTTGTCCTCCGCCTCCACCAGAACCAGACGTGGTGTTTTTGTTACCACTCATTTGTTTGTTTACAGGATGAAGCCGACTCTAACCCCTTCTTTCCACGGGAGCCGTCAGCAGCACGTTACTGCAGCAGCACGTCATAGCTGCTGATAGGAACCGCTGTGGTCAACAGAACCTTTTCCACCGGAGCCGTCAGCAGCGCGAGTCGGCCGCGTCTCAGGAGCAGCATGTCGCGGCCTTTACGCGCCGGTTCTATTTTCTACGCGCGACGCCTCTGAAACGGGTCAAGTTCGACATTTTTGGGGAAGGAAAGACAGGAAATCGGACGCGGAAATGGAGAGAAGCTCCCGAGATTTTCAGAATTAAGAACGTACTGCCTTCCGGTTGCTTTACTTTTAAAAAAGGTTACTAACTGTGCGTCCCCGTGAGAAGTTATCACCTAGCTAGCGGTCTCCTTTGTTTTTCAGGTCCGTATTGGAGATTATAAAACGGACAGAACATAAAACACAAACCATGTTGTAGTTTTCTCCTGCTTGTTGTTGTGTTTACTGACGAAGTCACTCGTGTGACTTCGTGCTCTGTCGGTGACAGCTGCTCCCCTGCTGCTTCGCGTCTCGTGGGAAGGGCCAAGCAGCAGCTTACGCCAGCAAGACGTGCTGCTGCAGTAACGTGCTGCTGACGGCTCCCGTGGAAACCCGGGGTTACACGGCGTCACCCTAGAAGGTGAGTTCATTCAGCTGATCAGAGGTCACCTCTGATGGCCGCAGTCACGGCCGACCGTGCTGACATCACACAGGAGTTCAGGTGACCCGGCAGGCACCAGGTGCTGGTGAAAGTGGGGACATGTCAGCTGGTTGCCATGGCTATAGTTATCTTTATGCATCTGTATGACTGCTGACTGGTGTGTGTTTCCTGTGACCTTTGACCTCAGACCGTACGGTTGGGCGTTCAGACGACGGCTAACTTTAATTCCATCAAGGTAAGAGGAAGCTCTTCCCTTCCTGTCTGAGCGATCCGTCTCCAGGTTTCCTCGTCCGGCGTCCAGCCCGCTGGCGTCCACCTTCATCTCACTGGGTTTGGTTTCTCTCCAGGAGCTGAACAACCGCTGGCGCTCGCTGCAACATGCTGGGCAGCGCCCATGAGGTGCAGCGCTTCCACAGGTACCCCGCACACTTATGCGCCGCTTACGGGTCAGTAGAGTTTGGACCCACACTCAGACGGAGTTCTGATGTCTTCTCAGAGACGCTGATGAGACCAAAGAGTGGATCGAGGAGAAGAACCAGGCCCTGAACACAGACAACTACGGCCACCACCTGGCCAGCGTTCAGGCTCTGCAGCGTGAACATGAAGGCTTTGAGCGTGACCTGGCAGCTCTGGGTGATAAGGTCCGCTTTCCTGATCGGTACCAGGACCCGAGTTGTCTCTGGAGACACGTTCTTCATGGTTCTGGTGACTCCACCCCAGCCGTTCCTGATCAGCGATCAGCGGGGTGCTTTCCTATTTAAGGTGGATGGAGGACACAATTTGACGCCAGAAGATTGCCTCAGTTTTGGTAGTAACCAGCCACTCGTGTTACCTCTAGTGTTCCTAGGATTAATGTTATTTCGTAGTGTTTTTGCTCTTATATTGGATTTACCATTCTTCAGGATTCCTGTCGACCTCATTGGATACTGACCTCTACTCCAGGATTTGGATATTCAACACACGGACCTTATCACCAGCCTCCATAACCCACCTCTCATCTCACCCGTTGCCCCATCCACCAGGACGTCCCGCTTCTCTCCACCTCTGCTCCCTCTCCTGCGCTTCCCCCGGCTCTCTACCTCTCCCTCCTCCAGCCAACACATACACCCCCCGACAGTAAGTCTGCTGAACACCTCTGCCTGCCTACAATGGATTTTGAAACCAGAACCTAAGCTCACCTGTGTTCTCCCTCCTCCAGACGCTGAGCTGTTGTTGCAGCTCCAACCACAGACTTATCTGTGCACCTTAAGTTCCTCCTTATAAATAAATCATTTTTTCCATCAGTTTTTGGTCAGTGTTGTATTCTGCATGTCTTGGGTTAAGTACCTTCCTCCAAACATGACACTCCTCCTCAAAGAGCAAATCTGTTCAGCACATTCTGACAGACAGACCACCATTCTTCTGTCATGATGCTGTACAGGACATTTTTAGAGTTTTTCTTTTTAAAGATAAATAGGATTACATTTAAATAGCAATACTTTCACATTATCATTTTCCCACACTTCTGTATAACTGTATTTTGTTGATTTTCAATAAAGAATGACAAATTATTTAAGTTTGGATTTGTTGCACACAAATATATATCTGTAAAAAATATCTACAAAGCTAATGTTTACATAACAAGTATGATTGGATTTTGCAATACGGCACTATTTTAGTAAGATTTTTAAACCAAGTAAAGTTAGTAAAGAACACATTTCTATTGGCTGCTAAGAAACTGTTGGGATTTAAAATGGGCCTGTTGTACAAATAACTTGTAAATGATTATTCCTCACTTTTGTCTTAACCAAAGAAATTCCAGTAATTGAGCAAAAACATTTATTTTTAACACTACATTTTAGAAAACAGGGCGCAAAGTGTCGGCACATGTATGTATGTCGATGGTCCGCCCCAACCAAACCAAGAGACACAGACGTCAGGGAGGCCAAGGTTGTCTCTGCAGCTCTCTGGGCACCACGCCTCACTCAGCTGTCTCCAATGATCCAAATGGCTATGGAGGAAAAATAACAGGTTTGTCATAATTGTTTAAAGTACAAAACCATACATGAAGTGGTGAGACAGGTATGTGGAACTTACACTTGCTGCTTTGTGTAGCTGATGTTGGAGACACACAGGCTGCCATGGTGACATTTAAACAGATCTAACAAAAAAATTAAAATTAAAAACTCCCAGACCTCATGTCATATTTACTAATCAGCTATGGCTGATTTATTGTTTGGATCACAGTGAGTTACACTAATTCTAATATATTTTTATTTCTATTATACATACATACTTTTTAACTGTTATTTTCATGACTGTTATCAGGCTCTCTTGTTCTGGTTCTCATGATAATTCCGTGTCTTCCAGTAACTTATCTTGTGCTTACTTCATCTGTAGAATGTCTCTTTACTTTTGGTAAATTGTACTGAGTCCAGAATAAAGACTAGTTGGCTGTACAAGATACAAACAAGTATAACATTTTGGAAATATATGAAATGTATTTACGCGGCTAATTTAGCTCGAATACTAATAACTGCCATATTTTCCGGACTATAACTCGCACTTTTTTACATTTTCTGGCAGGTCCTGCTACTTATACTCCCGAGCGACTTATATAACAAAATATGTAGGCTACACCGCGCTGCTGCGGGCCGACTCCGACCCACACAAGAATGAGTTCCCCTGTCCCGCTGGGAGGGTTTCAAACACCGCCAGCATCTGTTAGAGCCTGTGGCGGGGTGCTGAGGGCCGGCTCCAGCCCAGGAATGAGCTGTCCTCGCCGGCCGGGAGGGTTTGAAACACCGCCATCCTCTCCTCTGCTGGCTGTTGTTCATTCTGTTATGGTTACCGGTGCTTGTGTTGCAATGTGAAACGCTTGGTCTCAGATTTTGTAAGAAGGATAATAAAATGTCCCCCCAAAATACGACTTAAATATATTTTCTCTTCTTCATGATACATTTAATGGCTGGTGCGACTCAGGAGTGATAGCGCCGAAAAAAACTGTACTGAAAACTTGCTCAAAGCAAAATGTTTTCATTACGGAAATAAATTATAAACTTACCGATTTAAAACTTTTTTAATACAGGTACTTCTCACGAACAGGCGCAGAAAACCTCCACCTAAACTCCGTGTAAGGTTCAGGTCGATGGGTGTTCCAGTTAGCTCCGGTTGGGTTGAAGCTAGGTGGCTACATCCGTTAGCTCGGCTCCCACCTCCGCTTTAGCTTTGGGTTAGCCAGGGTTAGCTTCAGGTTAGCTCGTAGCTAGTTCGCCTGGGTGTCGTCACTCGAGCCCAGCCTTACAGCCACGCCCTCAGCGCCTCCTCTCTTCCCTTTTATGGAATTGTCTGGGCTGGACGGAACCTGTGACACGGTCAAAATGGCGGTGGTGGCCACCTCCCATTATAGACAACAAACGTGTTATTGAAGCCAATGGAATCCGTTTGTCCAGTATATGTACAGTCTATGGTCCTGTCACTGTGAGCCGATCATGTGACCTGGCTACTTATACAGGGGAGATCTTCATTTGGGTGACTGGTTAGCGTGCATGACTTTCACCCGGGAGTCTGGGGTTCAAATCCCAATTGGACCATTTTTGATATCTGCCACAGAGCTCTCTGAAGAAGTCAGCATTGACGGCTTCAGCAACGTTGTGCCACTCCGTGGATTTTCTCTTATTTGTTTAGCAAAAGCACTTCCTTTCATTTCTCCACCTCACCCACAGGTACCTCAACTTCTGCTTGTGAAATAGTGTTTCCTTGATCTGCCTTGATCTACGGTCGCCATGTCATTGGCGGAGTGCTGCAACAGCCGGTTTATGTACATGCATGAGGTCCACAAGGCATTTTGCATTGACCATTTATGGCAGTAAGTGGGCGTGGTGAGGGCGGGATGTGACTAAAATGCAGCTGAGAAACATTCTCGTTAGTCTCTGATTTATGAAGCGGAGATTGCGTGCAGCTGTGCGTCCTCCATGTTTGATAGATCACACACCTGCTTGGCGTAAGAACATTTTATTTGCTGAGCTTAAGTATGTTTTAGTAAGGATTCTACGCCGTGTTTGATAAATGAGACCCCAGGTCTGGTCTCCACTTGTGTTCTTTTATAGGTTTATGGACTGCGGTAACTTGTGGTGTGCCACTGAAGCTTCATGAAGCGCTTTGAAGCATTTTCTACTGTGCCGGGACAGGACTCGAGGCCACAGACACTTCAGCCATGGCGCCATCTAGTGGAATTAAGCAGTATTACTACGCATTAACCTCCGGAGACCCAAACTGTTATTTGGTGAGATTTAAAAGAAGAAACATATCTAGCTATTACGAAAGCATCTCTCATTAATGGAGCCAAAGTAAAATAAAACTGAGTCAATGTCCTAACTAAAGGAAAACAATAAAAATCAAAGTCAGTATCAAGTGTCTCACAACAACAAACAGTTGGAGAATAAAATTCTGTAGAGTAAAAAGCCAATGGCCACATATGTGGACACAGGGCCCGAGGAGGTAAGAAACATACTTTGCATACACTTTTTGTCTGAGGATGTTGGCTTTTTCAACCAGGAGTCCTGATCAAAGTGCTTTTTTTGTGTGTTGCTTATTTTGAATGTTTTTCTCTTCAGACCTTGTGTGCACGGCGCTTTTAGTATTGGTGAATCGGGGAATGCTGCTTGTGCTGTCCAACAAAAGCCAAGTGTGGCACGTGCTCAGTGAAAATGCTGCTGTGACAGAGATGATTAGCTGATTACGAGCGATTACGTGTTTTTAATTAGAAACAGAATTAGCTCCGTGATGTTTGGCGTCAGACTTTTTCCACTAATAATTTTCCCTGCTTTAGAAAAGTTCCTCTCACATGGCGCAGATGATGCAGGTGTACACATACACTCACCTAAAGGATCATTAGCATCACCTGTTCGCAATTATCTAATCAACCAGTCACATGGCAGGTGCTTCAGTGCATTTAGGGGCGTGGTCCTGCTCAAGACCATCTCCTGAACTCCAAACTGAAGGTCAGAATGGGAAAGAAAGGTGATCGAAGCTATTTTGAGAGCGGCATGGTTGTCGGTGCCTGGTGGGGTCTTTTCTTAAGCCCTGCAACCTCAAGATCAGATCAGACAGACAACTGGAGACATCAAGTTTACTCTATAGAGGAGTGGAGTAGGACGCCGCCAAACTCACACTGTCTACTTCTCCTCCACAGGTCCTTTTATTACAGAGAGGAGTGGTTACTGCGATAAGAGCCGGACCGGACTGGTTCTGATCACAGAGAGAGGAACAAGCCATACACTGTGTTCTAATCACCCCCCAGTTAAGCAGAAACAGGAAGATAGTCACATGGAAAACATCCCCTTTGCACACAAAGAAAGCTCATGTTCTAGTAGACACACACACACACACACACACACACACACACACACACACACACACACACACACACACACACACACACACACACACACACACACACACACACACACACACACACACACACACACACACACACACACACACACACACACACACACACACACACACACACACACACACACACACACACACACACACACACACACACACACACACCAAGCTCATGAACACACTTGGATCAAACGGAGGGAATTTGCAGGTTTAAGCTGGTTATCTAGTTGAGTTGCACGGATGAAGCATAAGTAGCACTTTACTCTCAGCACTGCCAGACGGGCCGGTCTGAGTATTTCACAATCTGCTCAGTTACTGGGATTTTCACCCACAACCACTTCTAGGGTTTACAAAGAATAGTGTGAAAAGGGAAAAACATCCAGTATGCAGCAGTCCTGTGGGCCAAATGCCTTGTTGATGCTAGCGGTCAGAGGAGAACGGGCCGACTGATTCAAGCTGATAGAAGACCCTAACCCTCTTTACAACCGAGGAACGCAGCAAAGCATCTGTGAAGCCACAACACGCACAACCTTGAGGCGGATGGGCTACAACAGCAGAAGACCCCACCGGGTACCACTCATCTCCACCACTAACAGGAAAAAGAGGCTACAGTTTGCACCGGCGCACCAAAACTGGACAGTTGAAGACTGGAAAAATGCTGCCGGGTCTGATGAGTCTCCATTTCTGTTGAGACATCCAGATGGTAGAGTCAGAATTTGGCGTAAACAGAACGAGAACATGGATCCATCATGCCTTGTTACCACTGTGCAGGCTGGTGGTGGAGGTGTCATGGTGTGGGGGATGTTTTCTTGGTACACTTTAGGCCCCTTAGTGCCAACTGGGCATGGATTAAATGCCACGGGCTAGCTGAGCATTGTTTCTGACCATGTCCATCCCTTCATGACCACCGTGTACCCATCCTCTGCTGGCTACTTCCAGCAGGATGATGCACCATGTCATAAAGCTCCAATCATTTCTAACTGGTTTCTTGAACATGACGATGAGTTCACTACTACAGCGACCCCCACCGTCACCAGATCTCACCCTGATAGAGCATCTTTGGGATGTGGAGGAACGGGAGCTTCGTGCCCTGGATGTGCGTCCCACACATCTCCATCAGCTGCAACATGCTGTCCTATCAACATGGCCGACATTTCTAAAGATGCTTTCAGCTCCTTGTTGAATCAACGCCACGTAGAATTAAGGCAGTTCTGAAGGAGAAAGGGGGTCCAACACCGTATTAGTGTGGTGGTCCTGGTAATCCTCTAGGACAGGGGTGTCAAACTCAAACTCACGCTGGGCCAAAATGAAACTCTGGGACGGAGTCGAGGGCCAAACTTAATATTTTTTGAAAAAGTGACAACAAATTTGTACATTGTCTTTATCAACATTTATGCAATTCAGAACCTTTTACACACACACAAAAAAAAAATACATCAAACTTATAGAGCGCTTTTTAGGTCACTTAAAGACAGTTCACAAAAAATGTAATAAACACATAATAAAACAACATGAAACATAGTAGACAGACTGGGGGATGCTGGGTTGATCCTAAGAGAAGAAGTGGGTTTTAAGCAGTGACTTAAAAGTAGAGACGGCATTCCTGATGTTTAGTGGGAGAGAGTTTCAAAGTGGGGGGGCAGCTAAATATAAATTTAATAACACCTAAGTTGCCTTGTATGCCCTAAAGCTCATTTACACACACACACACACACACACACACACACACACACACACACACACACACACACACACACACACACACACACACAGCGCCGGCGCTCCGCACACGCACACCACGCACAGCGAGTAGGGCACCACGCCGGGGGAGGGGCACCAAACGCAAGCTTATGAAAAAATAATATGTATATGAGAAAGACAGATTTCAATTAGAAGATGTGCAAGCAAGTTAACAGAATGTTTACATAGAGAAAACAATACAAAACGGAAAGAATATGGACCGTGTCGCAACCCCCCCCCCCCCCCCCCACACACACACACACACACGGGATAACGGATGGTGGCCCTCGGTAGTTTAGAAACTCTGGATACAGCCCTGCTACTGTCTCTCATCGCGAAGCACCGCAGCTAGAGAGGAAGAAGCCTGTGGCTTTTCAAAATAAGGTAAACATTTAACGTTTCATGATATTTAAATTATTTCAAACTACGATTATGGTTAGCATAAGTGCGTAAATACAGGCTATATGTGTCACTTCTTACATTGTTGTACAGAAGTGTAACGGGTTACGATTTGTTGTGGTTGGACTTTTATGTTGAAGGGATGTTCTTGGCCGGCTGTGTGCAGAGTTCCGGTTCGGTTGTTTAGAAGAAAACGAGCTAGTGTGATCGGAGATCGTTAACGGTGTTTCTGCTGGAGTTAAGACGTGGGCTGCGGCCAACAGTAACCCGGAATAAAGATCCGAAACGGAAACAACAAGTTGGAGTCATTAGCATCTCTTAGAAAAGGCAACAAAAGTGTGTTTTATAGGTGTGGTGGCTTTTGTTGAGCCGTGGCGGTGCGACACGAACTAGTTTAGCCCAGCAGAAAGGCCCCGCGGCTGGCTGGACCCAGCTCGACACAGCAGCAGAGCGGTAAGCTTCATATCACTCTAAAATGTCGGCTAACTTTACTGTACACGTTCATTTACGGGCATTAGCAGCGTGCTAGCATTAGCATCCCACCTGCTAACGCTAGCACAACATGCTAGTAATGTTACTACCCAGATTAATGTGGATTCGGACGATTTTCGTGGAATTAAACGTGATCTGGGAATTGTGATGAACGCCTTTTTACACCAGATGATAACCTTCCACTGACTGTAGCAGCAGAGCGCCTGTGTGTGTTACTCCGTGAGTGTGATGTGATGTTAGCATCCAGTAAATAAATCCCACATCAGCTAAAGAGCAGCGCGACTAAAGGTTAAAGTGCGTCAGCACAGCGGATTTAATACGAGTTTAAAGAACAATCTCTGAGTGAAGTGAGGCTAGTTTTTGTCTCTCTGCAGATTCTGGAGAGTTTAGAGGAGATGCAGGAAGATGAGAGACAGACAGGACAGGAAAATATAGTTAAATAAAAACAAGAAAACAAAACAAAGTGTTGAAAAGTCAAAAGTAGGTAGATTTATCTCCACTACACGTTTTTACCTGTATAAAACTATAAGTTACACACTTGTAATATTTATACATCTGATACAATTCAGATCACCTTCAACACTCACTCTCACAGCTAGGGCCGTTTCAAGACATTTTGGGGGCCAAGGCTAAATGACCCCCCCCCCCCCCCCACACACACACACACACACACACCACCACCACCCCATAGCTGGGCTCCCCAGAAGCCTCTGTGTAATTCATGCCCTCTCCAGTAGTGTTAGTTATACGGTGTTTATAAAAGCCCCTCAGACATTACTGACATGCTCTAATATTATCAGATGAAAAACTAAATTATCAGACATGCTGTCTCATCTGCTGCTTTTCTAAACTTGCAAAAAGTAACAAAACCATTTGAAAGCCACTATTTGTGGATTCTCTGAAAGTTTCCATGGAGTGTGTGACAACTTATTTTATCATTGATCCTATCGTCTAATCTCACAGCTGAAACAAGCATCCTTAATAATCTGTGCACAGGAAGCGTACCGATGCTGTAGTAAAACAAAAGGTATAATAATTTATTATTAATAAAACCTTGTTGCAGCACTAAAGCAGAAAAATGAGATTTTGCAATAAATATGCTAAATATTTACATATGAATAGTTTTAGAGCCCTTTAATTGGCAGAATCTGATATTAATTTAGTTCTTACAAAAAATGGGTCCCAACATGGTTTGTGTGGCGTTGCCATAGTGTGATGTCATAGGCACAGATCCCCTGTCCTCTTGTTTGGAAATGGAAATATGGTCACCCTACATTAAACAAACTGTCCACCCGGGCTTTTGCGCTGCACAGAGACGCTTCGCTGCCTACGACTGAACGTCAGTTGAGAGTCAATCTCATGCAGACTGACCAATGAAGAGAGGGCCTCAAGTTAAGACCCTCTCCTCATTGGTCAGTCCACACGAGGTGGGTCAAAGGTTACCCTGAGCGGGTTACGTGATACCAGGTATTCACGTACTGAGTATATTTACTGCATATTACAGTAAAATATTCCGTATGTGACCACATTATGGTGATCCTTGGGTCGTGATGATGGGGCCCTTGCACCTGCTACTGTATTAGCGGCTGCACCTGCTACTGTATTAGCACCTGCTACTGTATTAGCAGCTGCACCTGCTACTGTATTAGCGGCTGCACCTGCTTCTGTATTAGCGGCTGCACCTGCTTCTGTATTAGCGGCTGCACCTGCTACTGTATTAGCAGCTGCACCTGCTACTGTATTAGCACCTGCTACTGTATTAGCAGCTGCACCTGCTACCGTATTAGCAGCTGCACCTGCTACCGTATTAGCGGCTGCACCTGCTACCGTATTAGCGGCTGCACCTGCTACCGTATTAGCGGCTGCACCTGCTACCGTATTAGCGGCTGCACCCGCTACCGTATTAGCGCCTGCACCCGCTACCGTATTAGCGCCTGCACCCGCTACCGTATTAGCGGCTGCACCCGCTACCGTATTAGCGGCTGCACCCGCTACCGTATTAGCGGCTGCACCCGCTACCGTATTAGCGGCTGCACCCGCTACCGTATTAGCGGCGGCGCCCGCTACCGTATTAGCGGCGGCGCCCGCTACCGTATTAGCGGCTGCGCCCGCTACCGTATTAGCGGCTGCGCCCGCTACCGTATTAGCGGCTGCGCCCGCTACCGTATTAGCGGCGGCGCCCGCTACCGTATTAGCGGCTGCGCCCGCTACCGTATTAGCGGCTGCGCCCGCTACCGTATTAGCGGCTGCGCCCGCTACCGTATTAGCGGCTGCGCCCGCTACCGTATTAGCGGCTGCGCCTGCTACCGTATTAGCGGCTGCGCCTGCTACCGTATTAGCAGCTGCACCTGCTACCGTATTAGCAGAGCTTGCGCCCGCTACCGTATTAGCGGCTGCGCCCGCTACCGTATTAGCGGCTGCGCCCGCTACCGTATTAGCGGCTGCGCCCGCTACCGTATTAGCGGCTGCGCCCGCTACCGTATTAGCGGCTGCGCCCGCTACCGTATTAGCGGCGGCGCCCGCTACCGTATTAGCGGCTGCGCCCGCTACCGTATTAGCGGCGGCGCCTGCTACCGTATTAGCGGCTGCGCCCGCTACCGTATTAGCGGCTGCGCCTGCTACCGTATTAGCGGCTGCGCCTGCTACCGTATTAGCGGCTGCACCTGCTACCGTATTAGCAGAGCTTGCGCCATGGAGAAGTGTAAGTTTAATGGTAACTGGATGGCTAATCCCACGTTCGCGACGTGGTTAGCACCGGTTCCAGGCAATAGCTGGGAATTATAGCTTAAATTTAATTTTAAAAATAGCTTAAATTTGGTCTAAGTAGCCTTAAAAAAGGTCTTAATAAGTCTTAAATTTGGCTCTCTTAAACCGGCAGATACCCAACAGAAACAATCTCTGCCAGCTGCAGTAAATGTAGTTTCCAAATAATAAATAAGAGGTGCATTCATCTGTGTATCTCCTTTGATCCGCATTAGTGATATTTTCAGCACCAGAACAGTGAAGCAAAGAAACATTCCTGAGTTTGTTAGTAATTTTATTTATTAGGTGCATCTAACCTGTTCTATTTTTCTCTGAAATGAGATCAAATCAGTGCTTCTATGGGTTGTCTCCAGTCTGCACTGGAAAATTTTACTTTATTTAGAGACGTGTCATAATTTCTCCCCAAGCCCCCCCCCTCCCCCCTCCACAGCTGGAAAACTTCCTAGGGGAAACACTGAAGTTTTAAGCTCTTCTCACTGTTGCTAAAGTGTAATTCTTGATCAATAGTCCCTGTTAAGTACCTCAATAGATGTTTAGCTGCTGTCCAATGCTGTTGTTTTGGTTTTGCTAGATTCTGTGACCGTTTACTCACCATCCAGCCCAGATCAGGTCTAGTGCATGTCATAATGTAGATCAGGCTACCTATAATTTCCCTATATCCTGAGGGATCAACAGCCTCACCCTCATTGTTCAACTGCAGCTGCTGCTCACAGGGGGTGGCTCTTGGTTTACAATCCGTCATTCCAAGCTTTAACAGCACCTTTTCTATGTTTCTTTTGAGACATTTTAATCTCTCCCTCATCCTGTGTGAAGTCGATGCCCAAAAAATGCCCAAGCGGACCCATGTCCTTCATCTTAAGCCTTGATTCAACACAGCTTTCACATTGTTGGTACAATATCATGACTTGCAGCTATAACCAAGTCGTCTACCCACACTAATATGATGACCTTTCCATTCTCTGTGATAGAAACGATGATCAGCATCATTTTGAACAAATCCATTAACCATAAGATACTCGTTCAGTAACGTGCCAGTTACGACCCGATTGTTTTAAACCATACAATGACTTATTTAGTATACAGTAATCCCTCGCTACTTCGCGGTTCGTTCATCGCGGATTCGCTGCTTCGCGGATTTTTTCTTTGGAGCATTTTTCAGGGGGAATTCGCAGATTCGCGGTATTTTTCACTGATTCGCGGTATTTTTCTATGCGAAATATAAAGAAATTCTTGTTTTTTTTTCATCAATTTCATCATAAAATGCACTTTTTGTAATAAAACTAAAAAAAAAAACAAGTAAAAAAATTTTTTTTCTTGAGTTTTACCCACAAAAAGAGAATGTGATCATACGATAATTCAATAGGGAGCGTGGTTTCACAGACGCGGAAGTGAGAGCGTCGGTGAAACGCCGGCCGATCTAGGAAACCCCCGAGCGTTCGAGCGTCAACGAAGTGACACGGAAATGCCGGGCTTTCCAGAAGTAAGTAAGATAACTTACTATGAGCTGATTGTTCGTTGGATTGATTGGTAGGTTGGAAACTCTGATCATGAATCTGAAGAAACGATGACTGAGTGGTGAGCTGGAAAGGCGACTTCCGTTTATAACCTCGGTTTGTGACGTAGGTGCTACGTGGAGGGAATCCCTGCGAGGGGCATGCTGGGAGTCCCTACTTCGCGGATTTTCACCTATCGCGGCCAGGTCTGGAACGCATCTACCGCGATAAACGAGGGATTACTGTACATACCAAGTGTTGTCCTGGCTTTGATGTCACCTCAAAACCCTCTGGTTGCTCCATAAATACTTCACAGTCCATTGGAGCATGGAGGTGAGCAGTTTTCACATCCATCTGGTGTAGCACAAGCTCCTCCTGCACCGCCACCTGCATCAACGCTCGAACAGAGGTCATACCTGTTGGTGAGAACGTTTCTTCATAGTCAACCCCATCTTTTCGTCTATATCCTTTAGCAACACATCTTGCTTTGTGACGCTGTGATCCATCTGGGTTTTCTTTTACCGCATACACCCAACGACCTCCCACTGCTTGTGGGAGTGGTGTCAAAGTAAAAGTATATTTTCCTTAAAAGAAGTAATTCCCTCTTTCATTGCATTTTCCCATAATCTTGAGTTTTCAGAGTCCATGGCCTCTTTATAAGTTGTAGGTACGCCATAAACAACTTTATAGAAATAATCTACGTCT